GAAAGCTTTCTTTATTGAGGATAGGACTCTCTGATCGGTACCTCAGTTTTCCCACCTGTCAAATGGGCACGACATTCATCTTACCTGTTGCTCAGAGATATGGAGGGGATCTGTTGAGGCATGTATGTGAAACTGCTTTGGAAAGTTTAAAGAGTAGGCTGGGCATAGTGGCTTATGCCTGTAATCCCGGAACTTGGGAGGACAAAGTGGGAGGATCGCTTGAGTCTAGGAGTTGGAGACTAGCCTGGGCAACATAGTGAGACCTCTCTCTACATAGAAAAATGCTTTTTTAAAAAAAATAAAATTTAAAAATAAAGAGTAAAGGAAGGAAGGGAGTCTTTATTTTCTTTTAGGGTGGTTCCATGTGCCTGGTGGCGTTGCCCTTCCCTGAGTGGGTGCCTGGGGCTCTTTGGAACAAATGGTGTCCCTCCTGACACCAAGTGGTAGTCATATCTGAGCCCCAACTCACTGGCAGCAACATGTGGTGAGTTTGACAACACAAACGCTAGGCAAATTAACTCCTTCGCTACTGGCACAAGTTAGGCACACTCCAAGAAGTGGGTTTCCCCTCTCGAAAAGCTCGTTTTCCAACCCAAAGGGCATAGGAAAGTGCGTGGTGGGTCTCAGGCATGGTGACTAATTGGGGTGACTCACAGCTAGAGGGAGGTGGATCAGGAAGCAAGACTCAGGCCAACTTAGGCACTATATAGAAAGGTATTTCAATCCAGTTCAGTGGGTCCTAGGGAGCCACAGAGGATTCACAAGCAGGGGAGAAAGATATCCAGAAAGAGATTTCAGGCAACACCATGAGGAGTAAGTGACAGCTAGGACTACAAAGCTCCTCCTGTGCCACGTGGTCTAGAGTTAGGGTGACCAACTGCCCTGGTTTGTCTGAGACAAAGGGAGCATCTGGGACATAGGATCTTCAGTTTTAAAACAAAGCAGTCTCAGGGTGACTTGGTCACCCTGTTCCAGTGTGAATAGCACCTCCTGGAGTTGTGCAATATGGTGACGTTGGCTCTATAATCCATATTTTCCTCCCAGCCGCCTCTCTCATCCTCAGAAATACCTCTCTCCTTTGTCCCATTTCCTCTCAATTCTATTCTGCTGAGCTACAACTAGTTTAGTGGATTAACATACTGGGATGGATTGCATTTTTATCCCTTCCAGGTAATATTGTACATTTAAACAAAGGTCTCCTGCAGACAATGTTTTAATCCAAATGGAGTGACTCTGACAGTTAAACATTTAACTCATGAGAGATGAGGAAGATTTGAGGGTTCAGTGGGGGAGTTTCCATGTCACCCACATCACATCCTGTCAGCAACTGTCTATTTTACCTTGCATGGAGCGGGCGCTGTCTTCCTGGATCTCCACTCACCAGCCTGCCCTGCCAAGCAAGCCTGCAGGAGCCTGGGCTGCCTAAATATTCTGTAAATAATGCTGACTCCAGAACTTTGAAGATAGACTCACAGAATCACAGCAATAGGATCACAGAATGTCAGAGGAGAAACAGATGCTAGACATCATACAGTCCAGGGTCAGCAAATACACTGCACTCACGTTGCCTCTTCCCCCTGCTGTGCCCATGGCAGACATCACTAATCAATCATGACACTGTCTAGCTGAGCTTGTTTGGAGCATTCAGGGAAGCAGCTATCCATGATCTTGGATCTACTAATTGTAGCTAAGGTTTATTGAACACACTTACTATATTTCTTTTCCCACATCCTTTTTCATTATCATCACCTAAGTCACCAGCTGTTTGCCAGGCACTTTGTATCAGGATTTCTCAACTTCAGCATCATTGATTTTTTTTTTCCTTTTTTTGAGATGGAGTCTCGTTCTGTTGCCCAGGCTGGAGTGCAGCGGCACAATCTCGGCTCACTGCCACAATCTCGGCTCATTGCAATCTCCACCTCCTGGGTTCAAGCAATTCTCCTCTCTCAGCTTCCAGAGTAGCTGGGACTACAGATGTCTGTCACCACGACCAGCTAGCTAATTTTTGTATTTTTGTAGAGATAGCGTTTTGCCACGTTGGCCAGGCTGGTCCTGAACTCCTGACCTCAAGTGATCTGCCCACCTTGGCCTCCCAAAGTGTTGGGATTACAGGCGTCAGCCACCGCACCCGGCCAGCATCATTGATATTTGCGTTGGATGATTCTTGGTGTTGGGGGGCTGCCCTGTAGGATGTTTAGCAGCATCCTTGGCCTCTATCCACAAAATGCCAGTAGTACCCCTCCCCCTAAGCTGTAACAACCAACACTGTCTCCAGACATCACCAAATACCCCCTTGGGTGTGGGAGTAGAGAGGGGACAAAGTTGCTCCCGGTTGAGAACCACCAGTTTCCAAATTATCTCTCGTCTTCACAACATTCCTCTAGAGCAGATTTTTCTGGATTTTTTATTTTACAGATGAAGAAACTGAGGCCAAGAAGGAGCCCAAGATGAACTGGTAACAAAAGCAGGATGCCGAGCTCCAGTTCCCCTCTTAGGCCGGGAAATTCCGCTTGGTTCATTGTCTTCAGCAGCAAACTGCCGAGGCGGGGGTTGGGGGTGGGGGAAGACTGGAACCTGTGAGGCTGAGAAAAACCAGATGCCCGATTGATGCTTCCACATAGGACCAGGACGCTGGAGGTAGACAGGGCCTGGTGCCGTGTGGCAAACACTGAGGGCTCTTTCCCATCCTGCAAATGGCTCTGGGCGTGGAGACAGCCCAGGGAAGAGGCTGTCTAGGACCATATGGTGCTTGCCAGTGGCACTGAGGCTGTTAGAGGCAGTGGTGGCAATCCCACTAATAATACTCCCTTCTCTCCAACGTTGACAAGACTCTCCCCACTTCATGGGAAGCACATGAAATCTGGCCTTTTGCCTCCAGAGATTTAGGATTGAACGCCTGACAGTTTGGACACACAGCCCGTGGGCAATATTACCCTTCTCCCGGGCTTGTGTCTGTGCCAAGAATTCCTAACAAAGGGAGAAAAGATTAATTAATTTTTTTTAAAAACCCATAAAAATGCTCATGAAACTGACTAGTAAGAAGCTGTCCAGTTTTTTTTTTTTCCTTGGTAGTGATCAGAATGTCACAAGTTTCTACACACATATTTTACAGACATTCCATAAATCTTCCCGTGGTGCCTCTTCCCTGTAAGTAAGGTCCCTTGGGAAGTCACTGAGGCTTCCTCACTACATGTATTCAAGAGAAAATTGGTTGTAACACTTAGAGAAGGCGGCTGTCCGGGAGGGGGAGGTAGGGGTGGGGAGTGTGGAGAAGCTAGTCCAAGTTCAGTTGCCAAGGACAGAGAGACAAGGAAGCCTCCTTTTCTTGGAAATTCCTGAAATTTCCAAACTGTCTTTTACTTCTCATGCACAAATAATCTCTTTGTGCTATCTTTTTTATCCTTTTTATTTATTTACTTCTAATCGCCAAAGGGGGGGTCATTCTTTCGCACAAAATCTGAAAAAGTAGACGGAAGTAGAAAGAAAGACACAACCAACCAAATAAACAAAAATCCCACCCCAAATTCCAAGGTTTTTTTTTTTTTTTTTTGCTTTGTTTTATTTTGTTTTGAAAGGATTTTCCTGGGCAGTTTGACAGCACCGCTTCAGTGATGGGGGCCCAATGTTAGTGACAGTTCCCCAGGGAGCTTGTTAACATTGCAGATTCCTCCAAGCCTGCACCCCTGAGAGTGGGAGTTTGTAGGTCAGGGGGGTTGGGTCCCCCGAATCTGTGTTTTTAATAAGCCCTGGGGTGACTCTGAGGAGGGTGGTCATCAGACCACACTTTGAGAAATAATGAGTTTCAGATTTTTCAGACCCTCAGCAAACCTGAGATGTGAAAATCCAGATTTAAAACAAAAATCGGGGGCTAATGATTTGTTTTCTGGAAGGGTTTGGCTTAAATAGGCATTTCCCTCAGTGCCGTTAACATATGATTCTGTTCACACTCGGTGATTCAGCGAGGCAGCCAGGACTTCATCTGCACCACTCTGGGCCAATACGGCATACCGCCACCTTTTTACAGAGCAGCGTTGACGCCCATCTGCTCAAATAAATTAACGTTTCCATCTCAAATAACTCATTTGGCTGGATCATTGAGGTTACACGCCAACCCGAAGAGGAAGGGGAGGAGGCAATACAGGGGAGGGGGAGAAGTAGGAAAGGCATTTTGCAACGTATGTTGCAAGTAATACCGTTGCATTTTTGTAGCCAGAAAGGAGGGGTGAGTAGATGAACACAGCTACTAGTGTAATTCACATGCACCCCTTTATTATCTCCTTTTCACGATTCCTACTGATGCTTAGGAGTAGGGTACAGCTTGCAGCTGGATTTGCTGATGGGCGCGGTATTCCCTGTGCAAAGACGCTGTGGAGTTTGTGTGAGCCCATTGTGTGTGCATGGGCATGAGTGTGTGTATGGGGGCGGGGGTAAGGGGTGGAGGATTGTTCTGCAGAAGATCGTGATGTTCAGTGAGACGTACAGAGAACACACAGTGGAGACAGCAGGTAGTTTATTTCCTTTTTTAATGGACTTTATTTTTTACAACGGTTTTTGACTTTTTGAGAGTTTCGCTGCAAAATTGAGCAGCAGGTACAGAGATTCCCCATACACTTCCTTCCTGAAACATGTGCAGCCTCCGCCACCGTCAACATCCTGCCCCAGAGTGGCGTATTTGTTACAGTTGATGAACCTACGCCGACACATCCTTATCTCCCAAAGTGCACAGTTTACGTAACTTTTTTTTTTTTTTTTTTTTTTTTTTTTGAGATGGAATCTCACTCTGTGGCCCAGGCTGGAGCGCAGTGGCACGATTTCAGCTCAGTGCAACCTCTGCCTCCTGGGTTCAAGCGATTCTCCTGCCTCAGCCCTCCCTCAAGTAGCTGGGATTGCAGGGGTGCACCACCACGCCCGGCTAGTTTTTGTATTTTTAGTAGGGACAGGGTTTTGCCATGTTGGCCAGGCTGGTCTGGAACTCCCGACCTCAGGTGGTCCACCCACCTCCGCCTCCCAAAGTGCTGGGATTACAAGCGTGAGCCACCATGCCTGGCTGTAACTTTTTATTTTGAAATAATTTTAGAGTTACAAAAAGGTGCAAAATAGTGCAGGGTTCCCACATAACCTTCACCCAAATTTCTCTACTCTTCACAGCTCACATAACCATCCTGCAGTGATCAAAACCATCCAACACTGGTTCATTACTATTAACTCAACTAAGCTCCTATTTTCAAGTCTCATCGATTTTTCCACTTATGTCTTTTTTTCTGGACAACAGGTACTTTCAAGTCAGAGAGATCTGGGTGTGAATCCAGCTGTGTCACTCGAACATTGTCCAAGTCAGATCATCTCTCTGAGCCTTGATTTTCTCTCTGTAAAATGGGAGATAACAAGGGCTACTTAATAGGGTCCTTGTGAAGATGAAATAAAAACATGTGTGTCCAGAGCTTGGCACACAAGTAGGCACTGATGTTGGTTTTATTTTCCCACTCTCTTTCAAAGAACCATCCTCAAGGACAAATGGGCATTTGCGTAAATTCCTGTTGGACCAGTTTGACTTCATCTCAGCTGCTGGATCAAGTTTCTCTATTTTGGGAAAAAAAAGAAAAGAAGAAGGAGAAGAAGAAAAGAAAAGGCCGCAGACATAGAGATTAATTAGGAAGCTATTGTAACAGTCCATGTAAGCTAAGTCTCCACAGTGGCTGCACAGAGGTAAGAAGACAAAAAGTTGTTTTTTTGTTGTTGTTGTTGTTTTGTTTTGTTTTTGTTTTTGTTTTTGAGATGGAGTCTTGCTCTGTCACCCAGGCTGGAGTGCAGTGGCGCCATCTTGGCTCACTGCAAACTCTACCTCCTGGGTTCATGCCATTCTCCTGCCTCAGCCTCCCGAGTAGCTGGGACTACAGGCACCCGCCACCATGCCCAGCTGATTTTTTGTATTTTTAGTAGAGACGGGGTTTCACTGTGTTAGCCAGGATGGTCTCGATCTCCTGACCTCGTGATCTACCCGCCTCAGCCTCCCAAAGTGCTGAGATCACAAGCATGAGCCACCACGCCCAGCCAAGAGAAAAAGTTTAACAAACATTTCAAATACAGAATAAAGAGGAGCTGATGACTGAGTTAAATGGTAGGAACCAATAATTAACAAACTACAAGTTGGAATGACTAGGAAACTGGTCATCCTTTTAAATGAGATGAGCAAGAGAAAACCAGGTCCAGGCAAGAAAGAAGCGAGAAACCATGCACTTGTCAAGTCCCTGGTGCTCATACACCATGCTTAGAACTTTCTAAGTGTGATTTCATTAAATTCATCTAAGAACCCAAGAAAACTGAGACACAGGGAAACTAAGTCACTTGCCCAAGTACTTTTGTTGGAAGTACTAATATTGGAGGTACCTGCAGGCAGGACCAACCACCTAATTTGTAGAGCTCACTGCAAAATGAAAATGTAGGGTCTTTTGTTCAAAACATATGAAGAATTTCAAGCCAGGCATGGTGGCTCACACCTATAATCCCAGCACTTTGGGAGGCCAAGGAGGGCAGATCATCTGAGGTCAGGAGTTGGAAACCAGCCTGGCCAACATGGTGAAACCCCGTCTCTACTAAAAATACAATAATTAGCTGGGCATGGTGGCATGGACCTGTAATCCCAGCTACTTAGAAGGCTGAGGCAAGAGAATTGCTTGGACCCAGGAGGTAGATGTTGCAGTGAGCTGAGGTCATGCCACTGTACTCCTGCCTGGGCGACAGAGCGAGACTCTGTCTCAAAATAAATAAATAAATAAATAAATAAATAAATAAATAAATAAATAGAATTTCAAGACGGCTGACAACAGAGCATTACACCAAGCACATGGGCCCTGTGTGATTACACAGTGGCAGGCCCACAAAGTCCATATGAAGGCAGACATGAAGGTCGATTTTAAGAGGAGATGAGAGCTAAGGCAGAGCTTTGAGGGCAGGCTTGCACTCTGGGTCCCACAAAGAGCAAACAACAAAAGAAACTCACAAGGAGTCACCAATAGGTAGGAGGAAGACTGGGAGGCACACTGAGAGCCACTAAGGTGGAGAAAGTGACACAAAAGAGGGAGGGGCCCAGTGAAACCAAATACAGCAAAAGAGTTAGGAGCCTGGGGATTAAGACGTCCCATGATCAAAAAGAAACCTTGCAGGCTGGCCACGGTGGCTCACACCTGTCATCTCAGCACTTTGGGAGGCCAAGGCAGGCGGATCACGAGGTCAAGAGATAAGGACCATCCTGGCCAACATGGTGAAAACCTGTCTGTACTAAAAATACAAAAATTAGCTGGGGATGGGGGTGCATGCCTGTAGTCCCAGCTACTCAGGAGGCTGAGGCAGGGGAATCACTTGAACCTGGGAGGCAGAGGTTGCAGTGAACCGAGATGGTGCCACTGCACTCCAGTCTGGCAACAGAGTGAGACTCTGTCTTTTAAAAAAAAAAAAAAAGACACTTACACTTGAAATGTTTACCATAGCACAATTCACAATTGCAGAGATATGGAATCAACCTAAGGGATCACTAACTAATGAATAGATAAAGAAAATGTGACTTTTATATATATATTTGCACACATGGTGTGTATATATATGTGTGTATACATATCACATGATTATATATGTATATATATCACGTATATATTATATGTATGTTATGTATATACCATATGATTATATATGCCATGTGATATATATATAATGAAATACTATTCAGCCATAAAAGAGAATAAAATAATGTCTTTTGCAGCAACTTGAATAGAGCCGAAAGCAATTATCCCATATGAAGCAACTCAGGAATGGAAAACCAAATACCACATGTTCTCACTTATAATTGGTAGCTAAGCTATGGGTACACAGAGGCATACAGTGGTATCATGGACACTGGAGACTCAGAAGTGGGGCGCGGATAAGGAATGAAAAATTACCTATTGGGTACAATGTACACTTTTCGGTTGACGGGTACACTAAAAGCCCAGATTTCACCAGTATACAATTCATTCCCGTTACCAAAAACCACTCATTCCCCTAAAACGATTGAAATTTAAAAACAAAAGGATGCCTGTACCTTTGGTGATTGAGACATTTCTGTTGGCTTTTGGGAGCCCTACTCTCAGGACTGGGCAGAAGTCAGGCTGCAACATCCAGAGAACCTAATGGAAGTGACGAGCAGCTGAAGTAACCCAGGCTTTCTCATCTCAAGAAGCTCTTCCATTGCCAAGAACAGAGGGCAAGCTGATGTCACTACAAAAGTGATTTTTAAAGAAAGTCAAACCGCTTAAAGACTGCTTCTTATTTCGGCCCCATGGGTACTAAGAAATGGCTTCCTCCTTTTCTTCTTTTCCTCCTCCTCCCACTTAGCCTCACAAATGGTTGGCAGACTCTATCCTTAAATTGTGGCCAGGGACTGGAGCTGAAAACGCCTTTGAGGATTCTTCTGCAGCAACCACTAAAATCTCTGTCTGGAGATGGGAATGCCGCCTCTGAGGCTTCAGAACGGGCAGGGAGGCTCAGAACCAGCCATAGACTACTTTCTTTCCTTTGTCTGGACAATCGCAACCAGGAGGGAGAAATCATCATAGGCTGTTTATTTGTAGACATTGGCCTGGCTGTTGGTCTCATTCTGAAATAAAGACACTAAAAGGGAAATAGGCAGACACCCCTGTCTTCTCCAGCCCAGGAGTTTCTACCTGGCACTAATGACATTTAGAGTACGATGATTCTTTGTTTGCCGGGGACAGGCTGTCCTGTGCATTGTCTCTGGCCCTTGCCAGATGACATCAGCACTTCCCACCCAATGTGACAACCAAAAATCCCTCTAGACATTGCCAAATGCCTCCTACGGGGGCAACACCGCCCCCAGTTGAGAACCGCTTCTCTAATTGATTAGCACGTACACAGCGAGCTCCCAGAAAATGCTGAACGGATGATTCGATTCTTTTTTTTTTTTTTTTTTTGAGACTGAGTTCCGTGCTTGTTGCCCAGGCTGGAGTGCAATGTCACTATCTTGGCTCACTGAGACCTCTGCCTCCTGGGTTCAGGCGATTCTCCTGCCTCAGCCTCCCGAGTAGCTGGGATTACAGGTGCTCACCACCATACCCGGCAAATTTTTTGTATTTTTAAGTAGAGATGGGGTTTCACCAGGTTGTCCTGGCTGGTCTTGAACTCCTGACCTCAGGTGATCCACACGCCTCGGCCTCCCAAAGTGCTGGGATTATAGATGTGAGCCACTGCACCTGGCCAGGATGATTCTATTCTAAGAAGCTAGGAGAACATTCCAGATACCCCTCTGGGAACTATTCAGATTACCAAGCAGGGCAGTTCAAGAAGAGACCTAAGGCCGGACGCGGTGGCTCCTGCCTGTAATCCCAACACTTTGGGAGGTCAAGGCAGGCAGATCTCTTGAGCTCAGGAGTTCAAGACCAGCCTGGCCAATGTGGAGAAACCCCGTCTTTACTGAAAATACAAAAGTTAGCTGGGCATGGTGGCACACACCTGTAATCCCAGCTACTCGGGAGGTTGGGGCAGGAGAATCACTTGAATTCCAGAGGTGGCAGTGAGCCGAGATGGTGCCACTGCACTCCAGCCGGGGCAACAGAGCGAGACTTTGTCTCAAAATTAAAAAAATAAAAAGAGAACTAAGGTTTGTCTTCCGTTAAACAAAGGCAGACCTTCTAAGCAAAGGTCTTCTGTGAAAAAGACTTTCTGGAATGTAGAGGGGGAAGACTTACCACTGGGGCAGTGAGGGGTAAATGAAGTAAGACAGGCAAAGTGCTTGGCAGAGGAGTATCAAATGGAAAGTGTTAATTGGTATTTTTTTTTTTTTTTTTTTTTAAACAGAGTTTTGCTCTTGTTGCCCAGGCTGGAGTGCAATGGTGTGATCTCGGCTCACCACAGCCTCCACCTCCCAGGTTCAAGCAATTCTCCTGCCTCAACCTCCCGAGTAGCTGGGATTACAGGCATGCGCCACCACACCCGGCTAATTTTGTATTTTTAGTAGAAACAGGGTTTCTCCACGTTGGTCAGGCTGGTCTCAAACTCCCGACCTCAGGTGATTCACCCACCTCGGTCTCCCAAAGTGCTGGGATTACAGGCATGAGCCACCATGCCCAATTAATTGGTGTTCTTATTGTTGTTATTATTATTCTATGTTCACAAAACTGCACATAGCTCTTTACTCCTTAGAAAGTGGTGCAAAAACATGCTGCACAGCACAGCCACTCAGCAGGCAGGGCAAGAACATTCCTGACCAGGAGAGTGGAGAGAAGATCAAATTTTAGAGCAGAAAAGAACATTTGAGATTATTTGGATCAACTTTTCACTTTACAAGTAAGGAAGTAGGCCGGGCCTGATGCCTCAT